TTTTTTTTTGCGGAACCGGGGATTGAACTCAGGCCACTGCGCTTGCCAGGCAAGTGCTTATTCCACTGAGCCAGCTCCCCGGCCCCGCAACTTCAAATTTTAGCTTTTGGATTTTCCTGGGCTTGCAGTATACAGCTTGATAGCTTTTTGTTGTTGTTTTGCTGCCAGGGATTGAACTCAGGACCTTGCATTTTCCAGGCAGGCACTTACACTGCTGAGCTATCTCCTAGGCCCCAGCTTAATGACCTTTAGTATCCTTAATATCCTGGAGCACATGCAAGTATCCATAGTCCCAGGCAGCTGTACCCTCATGAGAGTAAACAGCAGGCAATTGCAGTGTACCGTGTTGCTAAGTTAAGATGTTCAGTAGGGTTGATGTAAAATGCAACTCTCCAACTCTCACCTTTGGTTTGGAACATAGTCCTGTCACATAAAAATATCTGTACACTGAGTCCTGGAAGCTGATGTCAGAATTTTCCAGCAGCGGTGACCACTGATGTAGGAGAATACACATAAAAGCATTCAATTTGGATGGAGTATTAGAAGGCTAAAAGATTTGGCTTATGTAGATTAGTAGTTACCTGCTTGAAGCCCCAGCAAGGGCTGCAGGCACACAGACTTGCCCGGTGATTGGCTCCTCCCTCTTCCAGCGACGCCTTCTTGCTTATCAACTTGGCACCCACTGAGAGTTCATGATAGTTAGGGGAGCTCTAGAGAAGGAATCGAAAGCCTGTACTTGAGGACTTGGTGCAAAGCATTAGTTTATCCCCCTCCTAAGCTTTACCATCAGTCATGGGTAGAAGAGCTCCCCTTGGCTTGCGGGAACTTGAAGCCTGGACATAAATAGCGGGGTTTTGCACAGGAGGGGGAATGATGTCAGCTAGTGACTCAGTCCTGCCTCAGATGGCCCCTATCCCAGTAGATGGTTCCCTCACCCGTTTCCCAAGACTTGAACACGGAGCCCCTTCGACCATGTCACTTTCAGGCCTCGCATATTCTATTCCTCCAAAGTATTTTCTTGCTTGACACCATTACCTCCATTTCCTGGGTCCCCAGTGCTCAGGGTTTGTTAACTTGCTGCTGGGTTTCCTGCGCAATTATTTCACACTTATTTCCCCCAAGCTTGTGCTTGACCACTCTGTCTTTCCACCAACCTGAACACTTGCCTTAATTGTGTTATTGCTGCATTGACCTGCCTGGTGGATGAGCCCACCACTAAACCGTGCCATCTGGTGGCATCCAGGTCTTTCTCACCACTCACCAAAGCCTTTCATTTTCTTCCCGATGGACCTATCCTCAGTAAGCTCTCAACTGCTATTCCAAATCTCTTCTCAACATCTCGGTCACACTAATGCTGTAACCCTCTCACCAAAGAACCTGCAAGAGATAGCAGGGTGTGGCAGTGGAGGTAACGTAAAGTCAGGTCATCTTGGGCTTTTATCCCAGTTCTGCCACTGACTTGCTGATCACCTTGGATGGGTTCCTTAATCTCACTCCACTTTGGTTTTCTCATCTATGTCATGGAGAACATGATAGTTCCCCAGCAGGCTATTGCAAGGGTAGCAGTTAACACACGTAGACCTGGACATAGCACGTGGCAAGTCTTGTGTGTAGTGGTGCTACTGTCACAACTTTGTTTAGGTGTCCAAAGCCAGTAAACATCCTTTCTTCTCCAAAAGGAGAATATTACATCTCCTGTTGAGGCCAACTCCACACGTGTGCTCTTGATCTGATCTCTGCTTTCTCGCTGGACTCCACTCACTGAGTAGTTAAATGATGATTGAGTGTGAGAGATACTATAGCTGATTTGTGTACCAAGGATATAGCATTGAATGAAGTAGGTCAAACCCTTGCCTTCACGGATCCCATTCTAGTAGAAAGGTCAGATAGTAAAAGACAGCGTGTTAGGCGGAGATCAGTACTGCGGGGAAAGTCAAAGCTATCGAGGTGGATGAAGAATGTGCAGGGCAGAGGTGGCCTCGCTGCTTCAGACCAAGATCAGGGGCCAGGGAAGGCCTCAGGAATGTTTGGAAGGCCTGAAGGAGGCTGGAAAGTGAGCATGCGATTTTCTAGCTGAAGAGGCTTTTACCTTCTGCTTTCTTACGACCCTGTCCATCAGCTATTGCTGTTATCCATGGTATTGACAATCTCCCCCTCTGCCGGATCGTTCTTACAGGCATCAAACATGCAAAAGAATACCTGTGCACCTCCTCTCTTCCATCTTCAACTTAACCTACATCCTTCAGCTTCTGACTGTGCTAGACATCACTGATTCAAAGAACCCCCCCCCCAGTGTCTTTAATCTTGTGGCTCCTAGTTGATTTCTAGTTGTTCTTTTTTCTGTCTTCCTTAGCTCCAGACACCCTGAGGAAGTAGTCTACCCCAGTGATTCCAGTGCCAGTAAAAAAAGAGATCCTACACATACTGATCTGAATTAGGCTTCCCCTGGGACCCTAATCCAGGGGGAGTCTGGAGACCTCCGAAAGCCTCACTAGTGGATTTTGTTTCCATCTCTTCTGCTGTCAATTCTGCTTTTATGTTCTGGTTATTCTGCTTGAGCTGCTGTCCCTCCGGTGCCCACCCAGCTGCAGCCTCTCCACCCAGTGGGTCTTTTCTCTCATTCTGCAAGGCCACTCTGATGGACCCCACACTGAACTCTTCTCTTCCCCGCAACTCACCTGTCTTGGCTTCCCAGTGATTTCACTCCTCCGCTTTGAGGGGCTTGACAACGGCGTCAAGGAGAGTCAGGGAAAACCAGCTCCCCAGATCCAGCCTCTCAAACTCATGGTTCACTGAGTCTGCAGTCCCGCCCAGTGTTCCCTAGAGTATCAGCTCGGTAGGTGAGTTTGACTCGGTGTCCTCAGGTAGCATGGCCTAGGCCAGCGGCTTTCCCTCTGAAAGCCTCAGCTCCTGGGCTGGATCAGGGTCTTGTTGGTGAGCCCCACTCTCATAATGGAGACCCTCACGAGTCCAGTGTGGACCTGCTACTCCCGAGGAGCTCACTGCCCCTTCTCTCTCCTCCCCACTTTCGACTCTTACTCTCAGGTCAATTCTTCTCCCTTTGGATCCTCTATTCCTTTTTTTTTTTAACATTTATTTAGTGTGTGTGTGTGTGCGTGTGTGTGTCCAGCTCAGCCCACCAGGGAGGGGGCAGGGCTGGCTGGCATGTGGTGCTGGGGATCGAACCGCGGTCCCTGTGCTTTAGCCAAGCTTGTTCCAAGTAGGTGCTTTAGACTGCTGAGCCATCTCTCCAGCCCCTGGATCCTCTATTCCTGTTCCCTCTGCTGAGTTTTAAGCACTCCCTTCAATGCCTAATGGACAGCTCAACCCATACTGCCTCTAGACCCTGCCAGTATATTTTCCTACAAATCCTGCTTTGCTTCCATTTTCCCCTCCTGAGTTGGCAACACTGCTGTCTTTCCCACTACACAGAACTTCAGCATTACCTTCCACCCCTGTGGCCTCTTGCATCTTCCCCTCTACCTGCTCAGTTAGTAAATCTTGACTCCGCCCTGTATTACAAATCTCTGTATCTGCCTCCTTTCCTGCTATACTAAGCTGCCTTCCTCCTTGCTCCTAGCTCTCTCCTATGCCTCCCTCACCGCCAGCTGCCTCTTGAATGTCAGCGTGTCTCATCAGCATGTCTCGGCTCAGGTCTTGGCAATCTCTGCTGTTTAATCCACTGTGGGGCTTCAGGCTGGTGCTGTGCACTGAACCCCACCCACCCGTCACTCCTCCGCCTCCCAGCTGAGCAGCGTGTGCAAAAGCTCAGCTCGTCCCCTTGCCCTTAATGTTCTGACTCCCAGGTCCCCATCTCTGGGGAGACCCCTGAGGTCTCAGGCAGAAGCATAACTATCGTTTCTTTTTTTCTCCATTTTTTAATCAGTCATTCGGCGCACATGCTGATGCCATTCCTATTGGGAGTTGGTCCATGGATGTATCTATATTCTTTCTTTATCCCCCTCTCCCTCCTATGTCTTTGTCCCCTTTCTTTTTTGCAAAAAAATCCATCTCCCTGTTGCCTATCTTATTTTACTCCTTATATTTTGAGTTCTCATCTAAGAGAAACCGTGGGATATTTAAGCTTATGGGTCTAACTTAACATTATGGTCTCAAGGTGCGTGAATTTTCCTACAAATGACTCAAGTTCATCCTCCTTTATGGCAGAGTGGTTGGTACTCCGTGGCGTGTAAGTCCCACATTTTTTTTCATCCTTCGTCTGTTGGTGGGCATATAGGCCACTTCCAAGGCTTAGCTCTTGTGAAATGCTGCTGCTGTGGACATGGTGCGGCACATCGCTGTAAGGGGAAAGAGCATTAGCTCTCTGGGGAAGGCACCTGGGAGGGGAGCAGCTGGGACAAGTGGAATTTCTCAGTTTAGATTTTTGAGGAATCTTCTCAACTCTTCTTTCAGCCCCACCGCCCACAGCATGCCAAGCTTCTTACTCCACAGCTGGGTGACTTTGAAGCACTCTCCTGACAGCCTTGTGGCCCCCCAAATAGTTCCAAAAGAATCCTCCGAAACAGCCACTCACCATCCCCTCTGCAAGTCTGTGCCACCTCCGCGGCTGTGTCCACCACACAGTGATTGGTGCACACAGGTCCTGTCCCATCTGCCCGGGGAGGAAGCCTCGCCTGGCCTTCCAAGCCTGAGGTACATCCCACTGCTGTGTGCATCGTAGTGCTTAGCGCCTGGTGTGTTATTTGCTTGTTTACTTTTCTGTCTCTTAGTGGACGAGAAACTGCTCAGCACCGGGACTGACTTGTTCAACTGTGTATTCCTGGTGCTATGCACAG